AACATTGTAATTTACAGGGTTATAATTTGAAACATAGTGAACAAGAGTTATGTAGGCAAGCTTTATGTGCTAGATCATGTTTACATGGTATAAAAAAAGGTGCTTCCGCTATCTGTGTGCTTAAATCTTTTAAGCTACGGATTTTAGTGCAGTTTTCAGCAACATATAGAATTATTCAGAACATTTATGTGTACCCGTGTGAAATTAACTGCTAGTCTAACATAAGCTGAAGTGAAAAATTCAAACTTAATCTACATAGATTTTTTTTAATGCTTAACAAGGCAGTTATTTGACCACGATCGCACCTGATATTAAGTAGGATGCAGTCTAGGATGGTACATATCTGCCCTGTAAGTGACTATTCACTCTCGCCTTGAAAAGGATAGATTCATGCATAGGACAATTTAGATAAGTAAATATTATAAAAAAATAATTCCAAGGCATATTATTATCTATTTTGAAAACACTTTATTTTAGCTCCAGAAACTCAATTAATTTTCAATTACCTGGCTACCAACTCAGTTGCTTTAATAAACTCGCCTAAATTGTAACAGACTAACCAAATTACCATTAATTTACAAGGAAGTCATAATACAGTATCAAAATAAAACATTAAATTCCTCAACAGATCCTCATCACGAAACAATTTGACCTCAAAATTCCAAACTTGCGTAAACAACAACAACAGTCAATCTCCTTAATAATAAGATAGAATTTCTGTTTGTTTATCACAAGTAAACACAGTCACGTTGCGCCTGCGTTAAGGCACGTGAATCCAACGCAGCCCGGGGGAGGCTGATATAACTTCTGCCGATACAATAGGTCGAGCGGTTTGAATATTGTTTGGTTGTGTAAACATTACATAAATTGCGATACAAAGTATATTTGTAGCACCAAGGGGATGCGTCGGCGGGCATTGTCAGTATTTAACCCATTTAGACCGATAATTATTTTTGTAAATAAAATTTGTTTTTTCAGCAAAAACTTTCAAAGGGAAGCATACAAATCATGAAAAAAATATTTAAAAAAATAATCCATAAATAGGGGGCCGTGAGGAGCCCGTACCATATAGGGTACAGTAGGTCTATAAGCATGCAAAACATACTGGTTGTTCAAACAAAGTTTTTATTTATTTTTGTATGATATAAATTAAAAATAAAATCACATAATCACCAGTATCATACTTGGCATATCTTGTAAGACGTTTTCTGTGATACTTAGCCACGTTTGGTTCTTTTTTCCTACCATCTCCGAAGTTAGTGAGGATAGCTGAAGAAGACCTGGCTTCTTCTGACTTGTTACGTTTAGTGCTATTTATAATCGCATTTAGCAACACGACGATGGAAGTTCAGCAAATCCATCCAAACAACCTCTGAGGGTAATTATTTACATTGACACTATCTTTATCGCCTGAATCTTCGTCAGTCTGATCATCATTAGCGGTCATCTGACAAGACAGTAGTAGAACAATACCAAAATTGCTTTATATTTGCTGAAATTGTCAAATTTTTCATGAGTTGTGGCAATATAGTGAAGCATCAATCGATGGCTCCTACGTATAAGGGCGAAACTGCCGCTTACGCCTTTTTCCAATTATTTAAGCAATGATTTCACTTTGCTCTAATCTATAACATCAGTAAGAAAAAAAAATTTTTTTTCCATTAGATACAAAATAAAATTTTAGGCAAATAGGCGTATGTGCAAAACTACGCCACGTATAAAGCCCAATCATACGATTCGTCAATCTATACGAGTAGTTGCTTACATAAACATATATTTTTTATAATCCAAATCTTAAATAAAGCCATGAAAATATTTAGCAAATTGTTTTATTTATAAATTATGACACATTATATAGTTATTTAATTTTTAGCGTTAAGAGTCGCATCTCAAACTAATTTGAAAATTATAAATAACTTGAAAAAATCGAACTGCCTAAGGCATCGTGGGTTCAATTCCCGCCTTAGGCAATTCGATTTTTTCAAGTTATTTATATTTTTGAAAAATATGACACATTATGTTAAAAGACCTAACTAAATCTCGAGCACAGTATATGGGCGTATTTGCGTTAAAACGTAAAACGGTACATTAAACGACTTTTTCTAACTGATTTATTATTGATATAGCACATGATAACAATTAAAATAATTACATGCATAAATAAAGAGAGTAATCGCTTAAAATATTATATTTACGTTGTCATTTAAGTCTCTTTACGTTGAACAATATACATGAAATTATAGAAATATGCCGACGTAAAAGGGCAATGCGTAAAATCTCAAAATATATAAGAAAAATATAAAAATTGATAACAGCAGTAGCAAAAGCATTACATGTTAAGGCTAAATGTGAAATTTCATTAAATTCGTTTTAGTAGGTCAGAAGATATGACCCAAAAATATGGTTCTGGCCACTAAAATGGCTCTCCTGTAAAATTTACTTTTTTCACTTACGCCAGTATACGTAGGAGCCATCGCAATAGCCTTAAACAAATAAAAATAATAAAAATCAATTATATTTTCTCGTATGATTAGCTCATGCATAGACCTACTGTACCTTATACGGTACACCTATTTTAGACTGGAATAAACCCTATAAAAATAATCTCAATAATATTTTATTAGTAGTCATGATATCTTTTGTACTCTATTTTTGAAATAAAATTGATAAATAACATAATTTACCATAAATAATAAGAAATATACCTTCTTGAATACATTGTAAATAATTTTTTTTGTTTTCTGTCGAGGGATTTCATAAATATTTTCGAAACCATTTGTTAAAACATATTTTTAAATATTTTTATGTAAAATAATCACTTTAAGCTTACTGTCACCATCATTTTTAAAAATTAACGACAGTTTGGTACTTCAAAATATTTTCAAAAAGATACTGTACCACATAGGGTACGGTAGGTCTAAATGGGTTAATAAGCTGACACCCATAAAATTTCAGTAGCTATTATAAGGCACCAAGTAACACGCTGGAGACTTTTCTGGTAGCTTACAATCTTGTTTAACGTTTGCCTCTCAAAAAACAGGAATGCAGGAAGCGACATTCTACTTCTTGACCGAACCTTAAGACAAGCGAATAAGGTACTATATTCCCTCTGCCTTATAAAAGTTTAAAGTTTAATTGCAGCACATTGTCGACTAAAAACCTAAGGATCTAAACTAAGCATCGAACTCAAAATCATAAATAATACAAAACAATGTAAAAAATAACATCGCCACGGTATTTTTCAATTCAGTGCCATTCATATCTGATTCTTATCCATAATAACAATAATTTGTAATACTAATTTTGGCAAATAAAATTGATTTGGATTGAATCTTTTAACACCTTTATTTCATTTTGCGAAATATAATATCGATTACGAGTATAAACTTAAAATAGAATCTAGGCGAGGAATATGCTTTCGGATAGAACGAGCGATTTCCGCTGAAGCTCATGCGCTCGCTCAGCGGAACCCATAAAGCGGCCATATTGAAATTGGATCGAGTCAAAGTTTTCATATCGATTGTAAAACTAGTATCACAAGATTGTAGTTGCGAGAATCTTTGTAGTTCACTGTTTTAAGTTCCGACCTTATGCTATTCTCGTGTGTACATGAGATGAAATGTGGAGTTGCAGCGAACTCGATTGTGTTACACAAGTCATTTATTGTATGTACGTCTGAAATGAACAAGAAATTATTTATTAATTAATATGTATTACGTTTTTACATATTACGAGAAAGCAAACTAATCTTTGGTCCACCAGATTTACACCCGTATTCACAAACATTACTATGAATGAGGTCCCACAGTGCGCGTGTACGCACAGGGTCCCAAAAACCTATTCAGAGACAACAACTACTTGAAAAACCTATTCATAGACAATAGGCGAAATGACACACACGAACCAATCATAGAGCTCTATCAACGCTGTGCGTTTGACTTCGTTGTTGCAGCAAGTATCATTTGTAAATACGGGTGTGAGAGTTGCTAATATTAGGTTAGTTACAATAGTTTTATTTCGTATGCAAAAACAAATTCAATTGCTCCCAGCACGCGTCTTTTGTTCTTTGGAAACACCAAAACAGAGCACAGTTCACAGCAAATGCAACTTTGCGCGCTGCAATTTACTTTTCAATTTCGAAATCCCCGCCATCTGTGGTGAGTTTATGAGGACCTTAAACTGAACAATGGCGACCAGATTGGAGCTCATTTAGGTCATAAGTGCGCTGGAACGGCCAAGATTAACATTTATATAGAGCTGTCAAACCCGAGCTCGCGCCCATTGTCAAAATGGCGCCGATAAGGGGAATTGAATCCGTGTCGTATTCTGCGAGTGGCGATTTTGCGACAGAAGATTATAGAAGACTGTGATTGACCGTCTAGAATTACTCTTTGTCTTCTTTATTTCATTTCTGGACAAGCTTCATATTTGCATAGTTTAGATCTATGCCTCTAGTTTGTCATCCAGTTGAATGCTACAAAACAAAACAAGTGAAAGTGTAATATTTTTAAAAACATATTCCATTCAGCTCAAATGTCTATGATTATTACAGCTTTGATCACACGTACCGAGTAAACGAGCGAGACAGTGTAGTGTAGTCAGTACAATACAGTGCATACCTTATTGATGTTTCCTTACTTTTACTTGAGCTCCACGTCGACATCCGACGAGGCCCGGGCACAGTGACAGAACAGATAATTTTAATGTCGACGGCCATGCCATGACTCACTTTGGGTCGCTGCACTGCGTCATTTTAGTTAGTCTATCCTTGACCTTATCAATTTTGACTTTGACCTTATCAATTTTGACCTTGACCTTATCAATTTTAACTTTGACCTTATCAATTTTGATCTTAACCTTATAAATGTTGACCTTGACCTTATCAAGTTTAACCTTGACCTTATCAATTTCAACTTCGACCTTATCAATGTTGACGTTAATCTTATAAATTTTGACCTTATTTTTGACCTTATTAATTTTGACCTTTTCTCTTGTTCCAGGTGAAGTGGAGCGGTTGCTACGGGAGTACAGACAGAACCAGGAGCTGGTGCGGAACATCGGCGCGCACTACTACCAGATCATCTACCCCGTACAGCTGCGCCACCACGAGAAGATGGGCATCTCTACAAGGGAGGTCAACACGCAGAAGGTCAGAACCTAATGTTTATACTTCCCCTGGGACAAACTGGTTTTCACTGGTCAGGTTTTTGGCTTCAATGATACAGCAAGCAAAGTTTGCTGTAGCTCACTTTTGTAATGGGGGTTGCAGCAGATTTTGTAGGATTCCTTGACAAATGGTGCCTGGCTCCATGAGAGTTTTGATGAGCAAGTTTTCACACCACAACTTTCGGATGTTCCCTCAGACTGCTATTGCCGGAACAATGGAGAATCACTATTCACATGCATCCCATAATTCCAGTTAGTTCTATTACTTTATTAAGTGAATTACAACACTGAAATGAAATTTCAACTAATTTATGAACGAATGTAATCTATCAGTTTGTACGTATAAAACCCCATTCACAAACCTTAATTTAAAACTTTAAAAGTCACAGCAAGCAATAATTTAGATTACTCTGTGAATAAACCTGTGAATGCCGACTAACTACATAGAAGTCCTTATAGCACTCACAAACAACATTTCAAAGGGTAACAATTTAATTTTAATTCAAAACAGTTCCACGAAACAAATATTGGTAACTCCAAAGCACCACGCGATTATAATTAATGGTTACCTGCAAACAGTACGTTCGAACGATCTTAACAACTTCAAACAAGTTTTTAGAAGTTAAATTGGGTCTTACACCAATATCCTGGGAGCCCGAGCGGACCGGAATGCAGGGACCCGGGTCGCGGGATCGGTGCTCGAAAATGCTCAATCCATTTTGGATTATAGTAGTTGCGCGATTCAATACTTTTCGTATTGGGATTGGATTTCAGAAGACCGTAAGAATCAAGTTTGAGTTGGTTGCATGTATCTTTACAAATACCAATATCTTTATTATAATAACTCTGTCTGACTGCTTCCTTTTCACGTTTAAGCCACTAAAGTGATCTAGATAAAATTTAGTATAGAGGTAGATTTAGACCCAATGAAAGATAAGATACCTAGTTTTATCACGATTTTTTAAAGAAGAACTCGCGCGATTACATACAAAATGTATGTTCACTTAATCCTTAAGGTTAAGGTTAATCGATCGTCTGTCTTGGAGCGTTGTTTGTTTGAACGAAGCATAAATTAAAAATAAAATAATTTTACGTGTGTAAAATTAAATACCAACTGAATAATTACAGTCTAGTCTAATGTCTAATCTAAAATAGTTCGTGACCAAAATTCTTCCATGAACAATTTAATCAACTCTATCCGAAATTACCTCGATTGTCTCTAGTCTGCAAGTACTGATCACAACAAGCTTCTGAATAACACTTTGGCATAGCGTTAGCAACTTCAAGGGAGCTCACAGACGAGCGACAGTATATCGGTGACTGCTTGCAACTTAAGGCGATTAGTGTCCTCAATCCGTGCTAAATGGGCATTTTGTAAAGCCTACTCCTCTTTTACTGCTGGACAGAAATAGTTGAAAAAAATGTATGTTATACAACAGTTCAAGGACTACATTTGTGACGTTTGAATTTTCGCTACGTGTCTTTGTTTTGGATTAAAAAAATAAATACGGGACATCGATTTTTTACTTAAATTCCCTACTCCTCCAAAACGGCTATGTTAATTTAAAAGATTTTTGCACGAATAGATTGGGAATTCTTTAATCTTTAAATGACACGTTGCGTTTTTCAATCGAACATTACTTTCATTCATAAATTTTACTTTTGATAAATTCCGAACGTTTTGCTGTTGAGGGGGCCTTCGCGGGGTGCGGGCGGCAGTCGGCCGCTGGCCTTCAGACGGGGAGGTNGTCCCTCCCAACCCGAAGATTTCTATATCTTCTTCCCTGGAGGTAAACGTCAATGTCATCTCTTCTCTAAATATAATGAGACCGCTCGGACACCGAGCCCACAGCGTGGTAGGGGTGGGGTTGCCCGCTCTTTTGTTTTTTAATACTACTACGCTGAATATTGTGTGCGGATTGGGTTGTCGTACAGGGGTACTACATGGTAAAATAAATCTCTTCGGCGAAAACAGGATAATTTAGATCGAACTTCACTTGGTAAGTTCGTTTGATCATTCAATTAGCGCTCCATTATCAGTTTGTTACCTAAGCCTGTTCGAATTCCAACCCCCAGAGAATTGTTGTGTAACCCTTCAGTGCTCACGTGCCTTCAGACCACGTGACGATCTCACGTTGTCCCAATTGCTCAATTCCAGCGATACACAATCGTAACTAACTTCTTTGTTAAGTATTCTTTGTTCTACACAAAATTCTATTCAAAAGTTGTACGAGTTTGGCGGTTTTTGTAATGCCGTTTCAGGGATTTGATAACCCTTCTGAAGGGGTGTTAGAAAGAAATTGGGTAATAATTTTGGGCGGTCTAAATTGCCCGATTTTTAACCGAGGGTAGTAATGATTTTTGGCCGCATGTATGATTATTTTCCAAAGTAGACAATAAAATTAAAAAATAATGATTTTTGGCCGTACAAGTATTATTATTTCCCAAAATAGTAAAAAAAAATCACGTTTTTTTTAGTTTCAAAAGTAGCTTTTCTGTGCTTTTTAAGGTATTTTTACAGTCAGATCTTCAATAAAAGTAAATGAATTGCCAAAATGTATAAATTTAAGATAATAATTTATCCTGCAATATACGAATAGATACTAGGTCATGACGTGGCCACTGAATAAAAATCGATGGAAATTCGACCTCCAACGCAGGAAAATGAAGACAAATAAAAATCTTAAACGTGATGTTTACATACAAAAAAGGATAAATACATAATTTATATCTACCACATGCATGACTGACAATTCGGGCTCACGTGTCTGGCTGAGGAACTTAAAACACTTAAGGTCGAACCACACTGGGCCGTCCGTGAAAATTAGCAAGTGGTAAAATTGGATCGATGAGGATCATCTTTCTAGTTTCAAGTTTTGACAACAAAATTAAAAAAAAAAACAAAACAAAAAAGGAAAAAAGAGACTAAATAAAAACCAAGTAATATTGTAGATTATACAGGGTGTTAGGTAAATGGGTATATGAGCCGACACTAGCCCATGTTAACATGGTCATATAAATGGTATGGTGAAGTCAGAAATTTGATATCATCATTTTAAATTTTTTAATATTCATACAAAATAAATATTATAAAGTCCGATTTGTATGAAAATTAAAATAATTAAAATGAAGATATCAATTTTCTGACTTCACCATACCATTTATATGACCATGTTAACATGGGCTAGTGTCGGCTCATATACCCATTTACCTAACACCCTGTAAAGTACAGTATTGTAGTATTGTAGGTATACTATGATTTTTCTAACCCCTTTTGTTTTTTTCAAAATTTTTGAATAAGCGGTAAGTATGTATTAATTAATGACATACTCATAAATGCATGCCTCCCACTAGGTGGACCGACGATCTGGTAAAGGGCGCGGGAGGTGCCTGGATGCGAGCGCGCAGGATCGGTCTTCGTGGAAATCCTTGGGGGAGGCCTTTGTCCAGCAGTGGACGTCTTTCGGCTGAAACGAACGAACTCATAAATAAAATGAAAAATCTACCTCGTCGAACCACGAACCACCTGAGCCGTGTGGTCGTACCCTTTCAGTTTCAGCCGATGGTATGCGCATAATCAACTCGTGCTTTGTATGACACGTGAGCCTACATTGTTTTTGTCATTTCCTTTTGTTAAAACATTCGGACGTGGATTTTCCGCATGTAGGATATTTCTATGGGTTTGACGTTTACAATATTTATAGTTCCAAAATACTGGACTGTCCTGTCGATGACATTGACAGCGGGGCGCCACCGTCAATACCAGATCGCTGGTTCCGATTTTTGCCATGTTTGGAAACCATATAGTTGAACGATGGTAGCGCCCCCCTGTCATTGAGTTTGGCGGGACAGTTCAGCGTGGGTCATCTATATCTGGTAATTTAGCCATTCACATGATGTGACATTAAAAAAGTTATTTATTGCCACATTCTAAATAGTTAGCTAAAGAGTTAGTACGTTTTGTACACAAAATATACAAAAAGTTTTTTGTTTCATATTTTTAGTCTACATCCTTTATGTCGCATGTATCATATTTGATTCGACAAGCAGGGAAGTCGTTTATTTGTATTGTGTTCACACAACCTCCTTAGTACAAAAATAGCTAAATCATAATTAAAAAATAAGTCACCAAAACGTTCCTATTAGTTCGCAATTAACAAATTAACTAATTACATTGGAAACGTGACCGTCGCGTGAGGCATTTTGATACCTACTCTAAGAATACATTGTTAGTTGGTTTCCTTAATGTGAATTTGTTAAGACACGTGAAAATGTAAATTAAATAACTTTTTTAAATCACTCTTTCAATAAAACACCCAAAATACTGGCTACAAAAATAGCTCAATCATGATTAAAAAATAAGTCACCAAAACGTTCCTATTAGTTCGCAATTAACAAATTAGGAAACATACACATTGGAAACGTGAACGTCGCGTGAGGCATTTTGATACCTACTCTAAGAATACATTGTTAGTTGGTTTCCTTAATGTGAATTTGTTAAGACACGTGAAAATGTTTATCGTTATGTAAGCTATGCTTAAAAATATTATGTATAGACCAGCGCACGTCATTATGTACCTAGTTGTAGGTTTTATTTTTAACTTAATATAAAGCCTGATGTACTGTGCTGTACGAATGTAAGAATAATTTAACACACGTTGGTACAAAACGACTAATTTCCCCAAGATTTTAAATTGTTCGTTCTTTCGTTTCAGCCAAATGACGTCCACTGCTGGACAAAGGCCTCTCCAAGAATTTCCATAATGCGCTGCCCGCATCCAAGTTCTTCCCGCGACCTTCGCCAGATCGTCGGTCCACCTAGTGTGTGGCCTACGTCTTCCAGCCCGTTGTTTTCTGCCCCAACGGCCATCATCTCTCGCTAGCACCACCATTTATCGCATGGTAGGGCAAGCTAATATCTGCCCTGAAAAAGTCCTACATATTTAGTTACCAATAAAAAAATGAAGTCTATTTTCTTCTTAA